TATTTATTTTTTAAATTTTAAGCTGTTTATTTTTTTTTGGGGGGGGGGGGCAATTCCTTTTTATGGCAACTGCTCATATTATGACCTTATGCAGTTGCGAGTGCCGTAAAATCTCTACTAAAACTTAAAAAATATTAATGTGGGGATTTTGCTGAATTTAAAAACGTTATTCACAGCGCAAAGAAAATGTAAATTTGCAGCTTCCAAGGACACTCAAGCTTAGGAAGTCAACAAACTTTGACGGTCGTTTTCTCGCCAATTTTGCCTCTGACACCAAGTGAATCCCACCTCCTTCAATCGAAAATATGTTTACTTCTATTTACATGTAAGATAGATGGGTATTTTTATGGAAAGCAAAACAAAAAATCAATACGTTTTAAGATTATACCAATAACTCCATTAGCCCGAAATTTGACAAATGCCCGATTTCAGCGCGTCGTGATACATTTTTTAACATACAATATTCAAGGCAACACTCACTCTAAACGTTAAACTTACCATTGACTTTTTCATAGTCACCACTTTTCACATAGTCAATGTCAGTACACTTTCGCTTTAGGCCGTTTTTGATGCAAACAGTTGAAGCAGCTGCGCAAACAAACAGTTTATTAGAAGTATGATTTTAAAGAATTCTACACAAAGTAGGAAAGGCTGCAATAATATTGAAATAAAAACTACAGTAAAATAAGACACGGTTTTAGTGATCTCCAAGAAGAGAAAAAATAACTGCAGCATGGTACACACGCACTCACGCTCACACAAACAAACAAACACACACACACACACACACACACACACACACACACACACACACACACACACACACACCAGTTGAATGCAACCGACAACGAGACGGCAAGCAATAAACTAATTTATTCTAAAAAAACCTGACATCTCTTGTTCTTCCCTTTTTATGCTTCAATTGTAAACCACCCAGGCGCGTATTCTGCCATAGCAACACATGACACGTAATTATGCTTAGCAATTATTTATTTTTTTAAATGTTGATTTTCATCAAGTATAATTATTGAAATAAGGAGAAAGAAATAACAAAAAGAACTCTAGTATGAGAAAAAGCCGCAAGGCTTCCGATTACATACCCTCTCCGCAGTTGTGTTTCTTCTTTTAATAGTTGGCTATTTTACGCCCTGCAATTCAGGCTATTAAGGAGAAGGGCTTCGCCCCATCTTGAAATGGCGGGTCTGACTGGAGCTGAGAGAGGCGCAACACCCCAACAGAACGATTGAGATACTTGTTAACAAATCTCCTGACATGGGAGTCGAATTCAAGTCTTCCTTACTGCTTACATTGTTGTCGACATGACGAGATCACCACACAAAGAGTTCAGCACACACTGTGACCACGTGAACAATTTGGACCGCTACAGTAATGAAAACCTGCCTCGATGAGACGAGAATGCTTGATAATGTGAGACATAGTGCCAAAAAGGAACTACAGTGTAGTACGGTTTTGGTATGTAAGGGGGTGTACACTTCAAAATCTTCAAGTTTGTCAATAAATATTTATAGACAGCATATTGCTTTTTCTTAAATTTGTACAAGCACCCCAGTTTGATTAAAAAAAAAAAAAAACCAAATCGATGTCGGGTGCCATATCCCTTCAATTCGGACCACTTTTACCTGTCTTCCTCATGGCGTTTGAGTCCACAGCTTTGACAATAAAGGTGCTGTTGCACTGGTCTTCATGTTTCACGTCGACAGAGAAACTCAGATAGAGAGTTTGGTCCGTTTGGTCCAGGTAGATGACTAAAGGCTTCCCGGCACGGGCATGGCTGAAATACATATCTGTCGTCACCATCAAACTCATAATTTCTTCTTCTTCTTCTTCTTCTTCTTCTTCTTCTTCTCCTCCTCCTCCTCCTCCTCCTCCTCC